TCATACTTGGTGTAAGTCCTTCCGATGACACTCTGCTTGAAGCAATGTTTAAGCTTCTAATTAATGTTTAGGGTAAGTGGCTGAATAAAGTACTAGAGACAGATTTTTCTTGCTCTCTGTTTTCACAAAAAGCCAGTCAAGCGGCAACAAGACCTTGTGTTAGTCCAGAATAATCTCCTTTCTTAACGTTCAACACAACCTGGGAAAGATGCCGAAATATTCCTTCTGCTGAGTTCTTATCGGTTCTCACCTTGCTGGGAAAAAAAAATTGAGATGTGCTCTGTTTTACAGGCTTATTTCTTACCCCTCTTTTAATGGCCATGCCAGCCAAGATGATTGAATTTTATTTTCTCAGACCAGCCTGGAGATATTTCCACTTGAGGAGGCAAGAACTGTGTCTGTTGTACAAGACAGCAGTTGATTAAATTGGGCTTGCTTTGCTTGAGATAAGTCAATGTTAGTGCGACCTTAAAAGATACAGCTAGGATGTTAAGGCCTTTCTGTACAAAGTATGGATTGTAGGAAGTGCTGGTTCTGTGTCTTAAGTTTAAGGCTTTGAGGGCTCACCTAATCAACTAAAATTTATTTATTTAATTCATATCCCCCCCCCCCCAATAATGGAGTAGCCCTGGGCAGCTTACAACACCCTAAAAACGATGTCGATAAACATCAAAACTTCAACCATGTTAAAAACATGAAGAGGAAATTTAGCTAAACTAGGAACGACCCAGAGGTGCTTAAAGGCAACTTGGCTCTCTTGGTTTTTGTTGTCCTTTGAAAATGTTTCGTTTTTCATCCCAAAAGCTTCTTCAGCTCAATTTCTTCAGTTCAAACTGAAAAAGCTTCTTGGATGAGAAGCAAAACATTTTCAAAGGAAACAAAAGAAAGTTTTATTGCCTTTTTGGGAAAGCATCTTTAGGACAAATGGGAGGTCCTTGGTACTTCTCTGAGCTTGGTTGTTTTCTTGAAGTGATGATGTCACTTAGTTTGGGTCATGAAACATCTGCAAGGAAACAACCAAATTCAGAGAACATCAATTCTGAGCTATATATTTCAATGCTGAGCTACAATATCTTCCTTTATTGGTTCCTTTGGAACAACCAATGTTGTCAATGCCTGGAATGCACTACTTGACTCTGTTGTTACATCCTCTAACCCCCACTCCTTTAACTTCAAACTAACCACTATTGACCTCACCCCATTCCTAAGAGGTCTGTAAGGGGCGTGCATAAGTGCACCGTCATGCCTACCGCCCCTGTCCTATTGTCCCAATTTATTCGCACCAATTTCCTGCATTCTTACTCATGTTTAGACTTATATCTATTATCTGGTAAGCAATCGACAGATCAAATAAATAAATAAATAAAAATAAACCATGACCTGGATGATTGAGGATTTCCACAGACATCTAAACTAGGAACCAGAACATGAATGGAATAGAGATGAGATGTCCTTCTTAGACTACTAATCAGCTCCATGGGACACCTCATCAGGATCTCGTACCAGTCAACGTAGCCAAGTTTTGAGTTAAACAAACAACAGAAAGGAGAGATTTACTTTGCCAAGCCCAGAAGCCATTTGGCCTTCTTCCAAAGGGTGACTTGGCAGGGGAAGCCGCTTCCTGACTTATTTATGGCCCTTCTGCAAACCACTCAAGGGGTTTCATAACTATATTGTATCATCTCTGGAGGAAGGAGCATGAATGCAGACAAATTGATGGTATGAAATCACTTTCCAAGTGGGAAGTTTAAAGCCTGATTGGCACATGGGGAGCATGGAATGGGGTGGGGAGGAGAACGGAAAGTGGGAGGGGGTGCCTGCATACACCTGAGGGTACAAGAAAATGTAGGTTTGAACAAGCATCAATGAAGCATGTTGTGCTGGAAAGTACACCATAGAATAGAATATAGATGATGAACAAGCCATTTCATTGTTCTATCCACCCATCCACCCTCTCTATGTCCATCTGTCTGTCTTGTCTCTGTCATTCTGTCTTTCTAGCTACCTGTTGCTATCATCTCTCTGTCTCTGTTTCCTTCTCTCTGGATAGCTGTTTGGGGGGACAGAGGCCATATTTCCATTTTTTAAAAATTGAATTAATTTATTTTTTAAAAAAATAGGTAAGGGCTGGACGTGTGTGTGTGTGTGTGTGTGTGTAGGAGAAGAGATGGCAGAGCTTTTGGGTGGAGTGAAAAGGGGATCAGCCTAGAATCTTTAACCTAGCCGCAAACAAACTAAGTCCAACTTCCCTTGAATTCTGTTGACCCTTATTTAACTCTTAGCAAGGGCCAGCCTACCAGCGGTTGAGTGCATAGACTTTTAGCAATAAATCAGTTTATTTAAATCTTCATGGGTGGACCTGGTCTCTTGCCCCTTGATAGTATATGAGGTTTCCAAGGATTTCCAGTTTTCTGGTTTTTGAATTGCAAAATGTGTTTGGAACCCAACAGGAACCCTTTCAGAAATGTATTTGTCTGTATTTATGTCACCAGGGTTGGTACAGAATTATTCGTACAGATTCCCCATGCTGCCCTGAGCACCTGGGTTATTTTTAGAATTTTTTTTAAAAAAGGGAGAAAAATTATATCTGGCTTCTTTTATCTAGTATAATCCACCCACACCCAAACACACATACACACACACACACAAACACCCTCAGGACTATTCCTAAGAGCAAATGATCCATATTCAGTGCTAGCCGAATACATTACAAAATTGGTAAAGTTTTGTAGAAATCAACTTTGGTTGTGGATTATGGTGGAAATCTGTTTTTCCATGAAGGGGACTGCTTAATAGACATTTCAGGACACGAGGAATGTGACCTTGTAGCTCACAGTGGCCTGTGATAAATTTTATCAGAACATCCTGCCAGTAAGCCCTGAACCCCAAGATGGAAACATTTCTTTAACTAAGACCATTCTTCTTCATGGACCAGAATTCCCCAATTTTGGGGGGCTTTGCGGACTGACAGGCAGAAGGGGGGAGAAGGGATAATTCCGTGTGAGTGGTGGGATTGCATGCACGTACACGCACATTTTTTATTTTTTTATTTAGATATTTTATTTGTTTGTCAAACGTGTGCAAGATAACAAGTATAGGTATGAACATAAACACGAACAAAGGAATAAATACAGATAAATGGGGAAAGTAAAAACAGGGACGGTAGGCACGCTGGTGCCCTTATGCACACCCCCTTTGAAGACCTCTTAGGAATGGGGTGAGGTCCACGGTAGACAGTTTGAGGTTGAAGCTGTGAGGGGTTGAGACTGTAACCACGGAGTCGGGTAGGGCATTCCAGGCATTGACCCTGCTGTTGCTGAAGTGGTATTTTCTGCAGTCGAGTTTGGAGCGGATTACCTTGAGTTTGTATCGGTTGTTAGCCCATGTGTTATTGTGGTTGAAGCTGAAGAGGTCGTTGACAGGCAAGACGTTGTAGCAGACAATTTTGTGAGCCATGCTTAGATCAGACCGCAGGCGGTGCAGCTCCAGATGGTCCAAGCCCAAAATTTAAAGCCTGGAGGCAGAGGGAATTCTATTGTGAGTAGAGGAATGGAGTACTCTTCTCAAGAAATACTTCTGAACCCACTTGATCATGTTAATGTCTGATATACAGTGCGGGTTCCAGATGGACATCTACTGTCATTGTTCTGAGTAATGAACACTGTTCCGATTCTGGAGATCCTTTATTGAGTACATCATATCGGCACTTAGAAAGGTGAAGCTAGCTCTAAATTATCCCCAAGCTTAGGGGTAGTTAAAAGAATGAGACTCCTCCCCCCCATGTTTCCCAGGTCACATAGGCCAATCAATCCAGATGTAGGTTCCCATTCAACTTCAACAGATGTCCAAAAGGCTCATCAACGACTGTATTTTCTAAGACTTTTAAGATCACAACAACTGTCAGAGAGTCTGTTGGTTGCCTTTTATTGAAGCTCTATAGAGAGCATTTTATCTTATTGCCTCTGTGTGTGGTTTAGGAGTTGTACAGAGGCGGAGAAAAGGGCACTCCAAAGAGTGATAAAAAGGGCACAAAAGATCAGCGGATGTCCTCTTCCCTCATTGGAGGAGTTGTATAACATGGGATGTAGAAGGAAGATACAAAAGATCTTGAGAGACCCTTCGCATCCAGGCCACTCGTTGTTTGAGATCCTACCATCAGGAAGACGATATAGAGTGCTGAAAGCCAGGACAAGTAGATTTAAACATAGCTTTTACCCAAGTGCTGTGATCAGGTTAAATGAAGAGTTATGAATCTGGTGGTCTTAACATATATATATATCCTGGTTGTACAGTTTTTAACTGTTATTTGTTTTAATTTGTTTTACATTGTCATTTGTATATGTCTTTTGGTGTTGTTCAGTTGTATGCTGTGGAAGAGCACCTTATTTCGTTATTCTCAGGTTTCTGAGTACAATGACAATAAATTTATCTATCTATCTATCATTTCCATGACCTTGGTTCTCATGCCAGCTGGGTAGATGGCTAGCTGGCTGAGGCACCACATTCCTGACTCACCCCCATGTTCTCCCCCCTCCGTCTTGAAAGGTAACCAAGAAACGAAGCAGAAGTAAGGAGAAGTCGTTTGACAGGTTGACAACAGCTACATTTGCACGAGCAGTGGGGCACAAGTGTCCACTGCTTGCACAAATGGAGCATGCGGGGGAGTGTGCATGCATGCTCTTGCCCGTCGCTTTTGTGGACCGGTTCCAAATGTCTCCCAGCCATGGTGATGGGCAGTGGTCCGTGGGTTGGGAACCCCTGCCATAGACAACAGAAGGGCAGGAAGCAGGGGTGAGATGCAAATATTTTTACTGCCAGTTCTGGGGTGTGGCTAGGTGGGAGTGGCTAGGTGGGCATGGCCATGTGACTGGGTGGGCATGGCTTCTTTTTGTTTTTTTTGCAGCACCTCCCTGCGCATCCATTTTTGATCCCAGGAGGCAAAAAATGGAGCGTGAGAGGGCCGTGCAGTACACACACACACACACACACACACACACACACACACGTCCCCCTTTTTGCCTCCTGGGCCTCAGGGAAGCCTCCAGGGCAAAGCAGTAACAGTGAGGGGGATCCAGGCATAGCTGATCATTGGAACAGCTGATTGTTGGGAGGAAAAAAAAGAAATACTGGTTCGGCTCCAGGACGTGCTGTCTAATAAATCACAGCAGTGAGCTTTGATTATTTGCTCTGGGTGCTGCTTTTTGATTCTACAGGACAATGTCATATTAGATTTAATAGAGCCACGAAAAATACTTGGGTCTCGGGTCTTTCTGGCCCTTTGCCCTCTGCTTTAAAGTTTGCACCAAGTAAATTCACAGGTGATCAAGTTTTGGAAACTCACAGATGACTTAAAAAAAAAACATTGCACCGAATAGCAACTTCTCACCCACTATAGGCAAATCTCCTAGAAATAAGTGTGTGTGTGTGTGTGTGTGTGTTTTCATATGTAATTGCCTTTGATGGTGGGGGAAGAAGCAATTAAAGAAGTCAACAAATTGGCTAAATAAAGAAATATATAATTTAAAGAGGTGTTATGTTGCCCAAAGTTTGGGAGAAAAGAACTGGCAAAGAAAGCAGCTGTGAGACGTGAGGGAGAAAGTTAACGTTTTAGAGACTAAACACTCAAATTATTTGCGGTGTTGTGGAAAATCATCTATACATTCAGAGCTGCACCTCGTCAACAATTCTGCCTTCCATATCATCTTTTTTGATATCCTGTTTATTTTTTCCTTTTCTCTTTTCCGCATCCTCTTCAAGGCAGCAAATGGGAGGACTTGCTCAGACTACAAAGCAACTTTTCAAAAATGCTGTCTCATTTTTATTATAAACCAGGGTTCATTAGCAGCAGCTGAGTTGGGAGTGAAAAGTGCTACATTATTGTTTGTCTTGTTTATTATAAGATATATAGCCTGGCAAGGTGTAGGAGCTGAAAGGATCATAAGGATGATCTAGAAAAAAAAAAATTGGAATAAGCTTTTAAAGTGCTCCAAAAATCCTAGCTGACATTGATATAATATATGAATGATGGATATCCCAAATTTCTGAAATGCAATGCAGTGTCATGGTTGGCTCAAACTATTTTAAAAAGTTGTGTTATGCTTTAAAAGTTTCCCTTTTTCAATAATCCGCATTGTAGAGTTAAACACAAGCAACTTGAAAGGGGAGCAACTATTTGAAGACCATCTAACACAGGGGTGTCCAACCTTGGCAAATTCAAGGCTTGTGGACTTCAACTCCCAGAATTCCCCAGCCAGCATGGTGGATTATAAGACCTATGGATTTCAATGGACTTCATCTCCCAGAATCTCCTCACTCAGCATGGTGAATTAAAAACCTGTGGACAATTTGGGGAATTGAAGTCCACAAATCATAAAGTTGTCAAAGTTTAACACCCTTGATCTAAGGGAAGATGTTTCTCTTCCATTCTAGAAGGTGTCTGAACAGGTAGCTGAATATTTTTCATTGTTCAGAATAGGGACAGGCCGAAGACTTTGGGATAGGCTGTGTGGCTCTGGAAAGCATGGGACTTACCTGAGAGGTATTTTCCCTCCCCACAAGATGGAGAAAACACTCATACTATTAAGTGAACAAGAGGAAGGATGAGATCTCACAATAGATACAGCTTGGCTGATGACTGTATTCTTGGTTAGCTGCATAAAATTGAATATCTTGGTCTTCTTTCTCTGAAGAATAACTTCAGAGTGTGCAAAATTACTGGCCATCTCACATCCCCAGCTTTCTGTCTTCCAGTTGTGCTGAGTCATGGTGCCTGGGACATGGTGATTGTTGCCCTAACATATCTGGAATTCATCTCAGGGAGAAAACCCATGGTAACCTCTAAGCCTCAAGGGATGTGTTGCTAGCCTTTGGGGCAGAGGTTCCATGGAGCACGTTGGCTTTGGACGTCAAACATCTTAGATAAAATTGTCTTGGTTTTTTTTTTTTTTCCTTTGAAGACGTTTCACTTCTCATCCCAAAAGCTTCTTCAGCTCTGACTGGATGGTGGGGAATGGAAAGGTTTATGCTCCTTGCAGACAGCTGGTCATTTGCATCCTTTTAGAGGAGTTCTTTGAAGCGCTTGGAGGTTTATCTGTGTCCTCAGGGTCACCTGAGTAGTGTAAATGGATCCTGTAGTCTGCAATTTTTCCCCCTCTGGAAATCCGTTCCTACTCCCACACCATTCAAAGGGTGTTCATCCCAAATTGTATAGCTAAAAGTCTGTAGAGATTCTCAGTCATCCAGGTCAAGGTTGTCCCAAAGGTGCTCTTTTTTTTTTTCAGGAGGCAACTGAACTTTTTTTCCCCCTTTGTGAAGACATTTCACTTCTTATCCAAGAAGCTTCTTCAGCTCTTAGTTGCCTCCTGGAAAAAAAACAAAACACCTTTGAGACAACCATGATCTGGATGACTGAAAATCTCTACAGAATCTTGGAGAGAAAGAACAGATTGTTGATAGAAGTCTGACCAAGGTAAGGAGAATGCTACCACCATGGATGGCATGAGGTGGATGCCATCCAGAAGTCATGAGCAAGGAACAAACAACTAGGAGTGCAAAGAAATGCAAGAGATTTGGATAAACTGCCAACTGTCCAGAAGTAAACGGAGACTCAAATTGTATGGCTCAGAATCAGCAAAATAATATTTGCGGTATGGCCAGCGGCCACATTCTGTAATTTAATTTTTGCTTTTAGTTCTTGCAGTAAGACTTTGCAGTGTTGGTAGAGGGAGGATACAACAGATGCGTTTGAAGGAGGCTGTGTGTGCATCAAAGCCGTATATGAATTAAGCATCCCTCCCTCCCTCTCTCTTTCTCTCTCTCTCTCTCTCTCTCTCTCTCTGTCTCTCTCAGCTTCAGTTCTATTTATTCCCACACCCAAATCCATTTTTCCCTACATTTGCTTTTTGATTGCGCTAATATTTCATTTGGGTTCAAATTTTCTCCTGCGCTTCAGAGAAGCGGGGAAATCTCCTTGAAGGCAGCCATGTTATTTGTGGTAAACAGAACAAGCCACTTTAGAGAATGACTCAGCTCCCTTTATTAATTGGAGATCCTGCCTTAATCACTCAAAAGGTTTTAGTGTTTGTGAAAAGCCAGTCTCATGGGTTGGTTCCACGCCTGTAGTTTGGTGATCCAGCGGTTTTGTAGCAAGCACAATGCAGTTGCTTCCAATTATTGTTTGGGTTCACACACTATAGTATGCTGTAACATCCCTTTTATTTTTTAAGATTTGGTTTTGGTGGTGTGGGAATCCAGCCATGGCAGTTGTTAATTAAAGATGATGGCTTAACAGTTCATGCAAATTTAGCCACTTGGGTTTTATTTCATGAACTGTAGTGAAGCAAAGCATCATTTTTGTGCAAAGCATCAATCAGGTCCTACCATCCCTGAAGAATGGGTCATTCCTGAACTTCTTCCGAGCTTTCAGAATCATTCTGGAGCCCGTCCTCAGGGAATTGTAGGGGGCGTGCATAAGCGCACCAATGTGCCTACTGTCCCTGTCCAATTGGGTTTTTTTATTTTTCTTATATGTATCCATTTCATGTATTCATAACTGTGTTTATGCTTATACCTGTTATCTTGTAAGGGATTGACAAATCAAATAAATCAAATAAAATAAAATAAAAAACGTATTTCTCGCCAGAGAATGTGTGCTTTGGGCTATGGAGATTCTCAGTCATCCAGTCCTAGTTGTACTAAAGGTGCTTTCTCAAAAGGCAACTGGACTTTGTTTTTCCTTGAAGACGTTTCGCTTCTCATCCAAGAAGCTTCTTCAGTTCATAGTCAATGCATAAAATAGCCCTGGAGAGAGAGAAGTTCCTTGAGGATGGGCTCCAGCATGAGTCCAAAAGCTCGGAAGACTAAACCTCTGATCCCTGGTGACTGACCCAGATTGGATCCTGCACCATTACAGCAATAGCCCTTAGACTTGTATACCGCTTCACAGTGCTTTGCAGCCCTCTCTCAGCGGTTTACAGAGTCAGCAAATTGCCCCCAACAATCTGGGTCCTCATTTTGCCCACCTCGGAAGGATGGACGGCTGAGTCAACCTTGAGCCTGATGAGATTTGAACTGCCGACTTGCAGGCAGTCAGCAGAAGTAGCCTGCAGTACTGCATTCTAACCACTGCACCACCATGACTCCATATCCCATTATTCTAGGATATATCTGTTTGTGTGATGGCCCGTTGGCCGCCAGCCCCTCCAGCAGCCAAATCAGAGGAGGAAGCAGTGGCATAGGAGTCAGGTTCAACACCAAGACAACCTTGGAGCTCCGAGGGGGAAGAGGGAAATGGAGCTGGCAGAGAGAGAGAGAGGTGGAGCCCAGGCCATCCATCAGCCCTCAGATGGAGAGTCAACAGCCCCCAGGTCTGGAGGTAGCTGATGGGGAAGAGGAGGAATGGCTGGGTCCAATGTCTGATGTGCAGCTGCGCAGAAGGCAGAGGAGAGGAGAGCAGTGGAAATCTATGGGCCGGTTCTTGGAATGGAAAAGCCACCGCTGCTAGCAAAGCCCCACCCTGGGGATAAAAGGCAGGGGGTGAAGATGAATAGATGTAGTAGACAGCTATTCATCTTACGGACGGACAGACTGCTGGTGCTCTTAATAAAGGAAACCTTGAGTTAACTTCAGAAAGTGTGTCATATTTGGGGAGCTGGGTCAGAGCAATTTGCCTTCCTGCGTGAATTGATCCACCTTGTTCTATCACCCTTTCTTTCTGTCTTTCCCAGCATTACACGCTTGTTAAGAAAGCTAGACCTTCACATAATATGTCCAGATATAATGAGTCTGAAGAGCCTTGATAATGCTTGCTGTGAATTCCCAAACATTGCAATCAATAAACACAAGACCTCCTCGTGGCTCAAGCTTCATATTCTTAAACTAATCTAGGGGGGGCTTTTTGCTCAACCAGGGGTCTTCTAGTGAGATGGGGATAGTCCGGTGCATCCTCTTTGTTTTTTGTAAAAAAAATTTTTTTACCTAAAATCTCCTCCCCAGGTGCTTTTTCTAGGTGCAAAATGTTCCTTGGAAATGTGCGGCTTCAAACTTCTAACCATCCAAACAAACAAACAAACAAAAAATAGCTCTAGGGGAGAGTTTGGAAAAGAAACAAAAACAAAGGAATCAAGCCAGCTTTCTC